CTTAGTGATCCATTATGTTTACACATATACCTTCATACTTTCAGTTGTCAGCATGTCTCCTTTTATTATGAAATATAACTTGATTAGATTCCAAAATTTGATTGGATTCCAAAATCTGCCAATCATGGACAAGACGTTTTAACTTTACAACTATTCAAACCTTAACTTCTGATGAGGTTCCAAGGCAGGATTACGGTTAGTCTTTAAATAATTGCCATCGCAAGATCCCACAAGATTTGAGAACACACTTTCAGTGCCCCTTAAATCAGAGATGTGAAATACTCTTGAACCAGACACATTCAACCTAACAAACCTATCAAACAGCTCACTGAAGGCATGTTTCAGATGGCACCTTAACAACCATGCATATAGTGTCTTATTCACTGATGGACAACCACCCTAAGCCAGATGCCACCTTCAACAAGACAAGGTTTGATTGACATTTGATTCAACGAATGCCCACCTTTGAGCCAGATGGCACCTTCAATATCACATTCTTTGCCTCTGGGTAATCATCCAGCTTCACTATAGCCTCCTTCATATCAGACTTCAGTGGAGGAATCAACCGGGCTGTGGCAGAAATGTCTATCCCCTTGGAGCACAAAGTGGAATTGCCCTCCTTACACACAAACAGCCAATCCCTGGGTGTGATGCCTGCTAGGGCTACAAATGTACTCTGGGATACATCAGACTGTTCCACTGGGAAAAGGTAGTGTATAGTTTTCTTGGATCGCTTGCCAACAGAGTATTTTTGGGAGTCAGTCACTAGCTCGAATGTAGCACCTTGAGGAACAAATAAAAAAACACAAATTGAAAGTATACCCTCCGCTCAACACTCTCTGAAAATCGCAACTTGGGCTGGGCAATACCAACAGCAAATCACAGTAATTCCACATCATTCACATAACTCATCATCTAAAATAATTACTGTCATGTTGTGAACCTTTTTCAAGATGGAGGTGGGCTCTATCCAGTCAGCACAAAATTTAAGAACATATAAAGACACATTCATGTACACAACAGCCAGCACATTTGAAATAAAAAAAATTCATCTTTATTTGTCACATATACGAAAATATAGTTGATGCAAACATATTCCAAAAAAGTCCACACCAATGCTTCACCTAAACACTTACAGCCAATTGGTACTCCACAAAGAAGCCAACACAAGCAAACATTTGTGATGACAACACAGGTATTACCATTTCAAATTTACAAAAATTGAACACTTACCAACTGGTAAATTTCTGCCTAAATGTTTCAAGACATCACATGTGCTTCATATTTACATGAAACATAAAATGTGAATCAGTCTAGATAACATTACACACAGTAGAAAAGACATTTTAAAAAAAAAGACTGAAAAATCACCTTCAAATGTTGCAGGCTTAGTTTCAATGGTACTAAATTTCTCCTTTCCATTGTGTGCTACAAAGTGGTGTCTGAGAATCTTCATACGATATTCGGGATCTGTTGATATCTACAGCAAAGTAAAAAAATAAATTATCAAATGCACTACGTAAAGCATACAATGCAAATATCAACCATGGGCCATAAATGAAAGATGTGACATTGCGTTTTCAGAGTCACCACTTTTACAGTTAGTTGCTACTTCACAGACGATGTATTTAAAGGACTACCTCATGAAGAATTTTAGAAGATTAATATTTAACTCCAGCTCTGAGGTTATTGTGCTTGTGTTTAAGGGCAAGACACTTGTCACCAATAGTTTCAATCCACCTAGGAATAAGCAAGTACCGGTATGGTACAATGTACTTCTCTTCCTGAGACAATCTCAGCTGTGCCATATGGAACCTGGAGTTTGACTTTCAAAGATGCCAAACGTTGTGATCCCAAAAGCATCAGGAAATATCAGGAAAGCCTAACAGCATGATCAGAAAGGGTAACATGTGTATGTACCTGTTTTGTTTTACTGTCCACCATCTGAAACAAAGCTCTATTTGTAGCGAGCACCAACTCTTTGCACCTGTCAACACAACAATAATGTGAATTTCAGATCAGTCAATTATCTATGTATTTGGTTTTCAAAAAATTCAATAAAATTGATAAAAGCTGTACAACAGATGAATCAGAAATGACTTTACTCCTAACATCTACATGTACATGCGTATCTCCCACAATTAATTACCTAGCTTTGCTGTTAAAATGAGGATCTATGGTCCAATTATGTTAGTATAATAGTGATCCACTGATTTACATTAACATTTTGGATTTTGGAAAAACAAAGATTCTTTGAAAAAATCACCTACTGGTTTAGTGTCACATTTAGCCTGTTTTTTGGTTTGTTTGTTTTTTATTAAACAATTTGTGAATGCTGTCTTGCAGAAGAATAAAGTTTCCAGTAAAAACTAGTCTTTTGGTGTGTATTTTATTTCCCTTACACTCACTGGTAAATAGTTTAGGCCTAATGAATATGCAGTCTACCTTCAGTTCACTGTGTGTGTCCCAGTTTAGTGACCCTTAGCGTATAAGGACAGAGATGCAACGTGGATGAGTGTGTGTGCTTTCCAAGGAAAGCATCTTTTGTTCACTGCCATGGTTAGTCAATTGTAAACATTTTTGCTAGTGTTTCTTGGGGTGTTGTCCAGTTAGTCCGGAACCAGCACTGACAGACGGGGGTCAATGATTGTAGAACCTCTGAGCAACGTGTGAATTTCTATTTCAAACTCGGTGGGCAGCTCTGATTCAGCTAAATCCATCCCTGTGACCAGCAGAGCTTTGAATTACCTGCAGTTACACATGTATTTTCCGAAGCTTTTAACTATTAGTTAAATTTATCTTGTGTTATACTTGCTACAAAGTTTCACCAACTTGAATTTTATGAGTTTATGGTCTTTCATAGCTTGCTTGGTAGGAGATCACACAAATGAATGCTGTTTCAAGGCTTATAATGACAAAAGATTGCTTGAATAAGTCCAATCTTGGTTTGTGACATTGATTTTGTAAGATGGAACATAAAAACTGCTTTTGAAGCGGTACATCACTTAAAAGGGGTACTCCAATCTTCCTTCTACATGTGTATCTTTTGATCAATGAGAGCCACTAAAAGGGGCCTTAGCTACCATTTTTTCATAGCCGGGACTTGGAGCTCAGATTTGCGCACGGACATGGACTACCTTAAGCACCAACAACTTCAGCAAAAACCTGCGAACACTTACGCCCCAGGATCAAATGACTCTTGCATGTGATGTTCAATGGCTTTTTAAATATTGAAATTGTGTACATGTATGGTACTTTTAGAAGATAAAGTCACAAATTGCAGAAGTATTGAATTCTAATTCCCTTTCGGACTTGGTCAACAAAATAACAGTTTATGAAGTAAAATTTTGGTGTGGTTTTTTTTTTGAGCAGGGTAAATTGGTAAAACGGAGCAAGTATTATCAAAAGTAAGACGTTGTTTGAACTGAAATTTGTACACTAGTTAGAATTAAAAGTGATTAACCCGACAACCTGTGAAACCTTATTGAATAAAATATTGTGTTTCCAGTAGAGTTTGTTATTTATCTGGGAAGCAACAGAAAATCAGAATACTGAATGTTGAAAAGTGTTGAAGGTTCATCTGTATTTGAATCCAAAATAGCTAACAGTGGATTTAAATGAAGGCTTGGAACAAGTTGTTTTGAGTATGACATAACTTGAAAAAATTGATGTAACAGATTTACTGTTTTCTATGACAACCATATACTCGCACAAGAATTTAGAATTGAATTTGCAACTTATTGTGAACTGTGCTGATGACAAGAAATTTGGGGAGGGAGGGACGGGAATAATTGCAGTTTTATCAGAAAAAGAACTGTGGAATTTGTTAAAATTTATTTCATGATCATGCATGTATGGCACGTTTCCTCTATTCAACTTTGTACGAGGGAGTCACCAAAGTGACTATGCAACAATTGGCTTGTCATAATAAACAAATGCTCAACTTTGAACACTCACCTAAGGATTTAAAGCTTGACCACTCCCTACCGGGCCACCCGTTTTCGAGTACATGGGCTTTATATATAGAGCTGGGGAGCCCCGGTACTGGGACAAAAGAGTTGGGCCTTATAACAAAAGACCCTGCTCGGCACAAAAGACTGAGCTGCTGGGCATTACCAACATTTTCAGGTCTCAATATTAGAGATAATCCAGCCTCGTTTTGAAACAGTATACCATGGTTTGAGGCATTTAGAGTAAGCAGATTACCACCGGGGACATAAGCTCTCCACCACCACCACCACCACCGCAGCGATGAGCCACACAGCACCGCTGCATGCTAATCTGGCCCCTATTGAAAAGAGGTCAGCAGTGCACTGTGCCAGTTTCGGAAACAAAAGAATCTTACGTAACACAATCTGGGCTCTTTTTCCAATGATGCAGGCCAGCTGAAATATTCAGGAGTCACTGAATTTTACCAGTCAGCTTTAGAATAGTGCCCAAAGAGTCCTTCATTTTATAAATGGCCATTAAATGAAATGATGAATTTTTGAAGAATTTTGAAAACGGAAAATCTTGAAAATAAGCCGGCATCTTGTCTTGCTCAAGAAAAATCCACCCGGCAGCACGTGGTTAATCATAAATTACAAATATACATAAAATCCAGTGACCAGAGGTAATGTTTTGAACCATATAAACATTTTTACATTTATTTACATTGAGGAAAACTACTGCTTAAGGTTGGTAAGGGCTCAACGGAAGACCTCTGACATGTTTTGTGGCGGCAAGCATGCTGGTCTCACAGGACCAGTCCAGTACTGCTTCCAGTACTGTTTGCACCATTTTGATCATGCACACGTTAGCTTAACTGTATTGCATAAAAACAGAAAAGGACCAGTAGGTTTGCCCCCACTAAGTATCACAAGTAACCCATTAATTCTGATACTTGCCATGTATGTGTATGCATCTAGTTTTTGTACGTTGCTCAGTTTTGTGAACAACCTCATTCAATATTTCAAATGGCATGTTTTGTTTGTAACTGCTTGTGAAGATGAGCACAACACACTGTTTTAATCGATAAGTATAATGTGCTCTAAGAACCACTCAGGTCACAAAATAAACACACTACTGCAAACGTCATGACTAAGTTTATTGAAACTTACCATACTACACACTGATGATCAGTTGACAACCATACTCTTGGTACAGACATGGCCTGTATTATTAAGAAAAAATTAACTTCAGCCATCAATGTGACAAGTTTAAGAATTGTCACGGTTCCAAATGGGGTCCAGGAGTAACAGGGTAAGTACACTCTCTGAACAAACTGTCATGGCTGTTGAGTTACTGGTAAGGCCATTTTTAAGTACACCCTCTGAACAAACTGTCATGACTGTTGAGTTACTAGTAAGGCCATTTTTCTAGTTAGTGAAACATGCTAACAGGTATGTGTATGTGTACATGTCTGATGCAACATGGGTGCAGACAGCATATGACCGGCTCTGCCAAAAAAGGTGTATTATGTCACTTTTTTTTAATTTGAGTTATATGTAATCAAACTGCTCACATCCTAAGCTTTCACTTGATATATAAGTCATCCCAGAGGCAATTTTACACTTTGGAGTTATTTGCTATTTGCATAAATGTATTCATATAATTTCATTTTATCACATGTGCTTTTTGAGATAATGCCCTTAAACATAACAAACAGAAACATTAAACTTAAATTAGACACTCTTTTGGATTTCCTTAGCAGCAAAGGCTTTCTGGTCAAGCAATTGGCCTAAAAATACTTCCAAATATTTTCACCCTTGGCACATGGAATTGGCCATTACGCATTTTTGCATTGCGCGACTTAATACACTTTTTGCAGAGTGGGTCACATATACATGTGGATAGGCCAATTTGATGTAATAGCCAGGGATATGCTGCTGGGATCTCAGTCCAGGCCTAGACAATTTCTTGGAGTTGGTAACATAGGCATAAAGTACCCAAAACTCTGGGTAAAATATCTGTATATGCTGGGAAGTAATGGGAGGATGAATATCTGGATTTTGGCAGACTTATCAGAAGAGGTCCCTGCTGCCGGGTGCTACTTATATCAATGCTAGATTTAAGACCTCCACCGGGAGGTACTGGAAGGTAGAATATCTGGATTTTGGCAGACCTATCAGAAGAGGTCCCTGCTGTAAGGTGCTACTTACATTAACACTAAGACTTCTACTTGATGGGACGACACCCAGGAGTGATGTCAAGCCAGATCGGACCATAGTATCACGATGTCCACCACTAACAGATAACAATGTCACATCCTTCAATCGGCTACTATGAATGTGCTCCTTCCAATACTAAAGTAAAAGCCATTATGAAGTTACGATTAATCAGTTAACATTTTATAAATCACAAATCAACAAGATATGAATCCTATATGTACATGTAACTGTCTTAAATCCTACACCGTACAAATGGACAGATCAGATTGTGTGACTTCACTCACAGAAATCATTGTGAAATATTTTGTAAGATCAATTTGAAAAACGCTTGACTGACATTTCGTATGTTGCTGACTTTTATCATGTACTATTGTGACACCTACACTCTACACATAGAACATGGTAGTTATCCACCAATCTATTACAGGTCCAACTTAAATGTACATGTAACAGTAGGAACCAGTGAAGCTGTAATGAATGTTGCATGCACTTTTTATGCCATGAATCACAGAAAATTCATGGGAGAATTAATTTCATTTTGTGATTTATCTTCAAGGAAGAACAACATGTACCCAAAGGTGAAATATGGAAGGAAAGTTTACAACATGTTTTTTGGCATGTAAAGTGGATATGTTGCCTCAAAATCCTCCCAGAAAATCATTTGTGAGGCACACTACCACTCATTTGAATGGGCCAGAGCTGTTAACAGATGCATCAGAGGTCAAAAATTACTATACCAAGCAAGCACGACATGTAAACTGAACATTTTGTGTTGGCCCAGCAGTGTTCATTTTAGCCCTGTTGTACTGTATCACGTTGAAGACCGTCACATTGGATCAAAAACAAAACACACTGCTTCCTGATTTACAATACTATAAATAGGACGTACATGTAAGAACAATGAACTAGGGAGGGTCAATTGATTTGTGGCATAAGACATGTACACAAACTGTATGTGTGCACATGTAAGATGTCTTCATTCTGGACAAGATACCACATCACATGTACATGTACCTTGTTGACTGATCCATAGAAATCCACCAAATATTTATCTGCACCAATAACTGGGCTGACATGAGGTGTTGCCTGAGTAAAGACGGTGTGTACAAGACTAGGCTGGAACTCTGGTAGCATGAATAGAGCTCTTGCTATCACACCCCCCTGAACAAACAAAACATAAAATCACATCTAAACCATTGAATACATGAAAGAACAAGTATATGGTACAAGTACTGACATCTAAGAAAGTGCTACAGTCTACCGATATTTCGTCACAACAAAACTGCCAACCTCAAAGTACATGTAAAGGAATAATCCTAGGTGCAAGGTACTGTAAGATCCAACCTGGCATGTCAAGTAGAAAACTGTTACTAGAAACGATGTGTAGAACTTTGAGCCATCTAAATGAACCAGTTCAGTATTCTTACAGCGCACACCCAATCCAAGGCTTTTTGGGGACAGCTACGCCATATGCTGACTCAAGTGACCCCTTTGCTCCCACAAGACTTCGGCGTTTAAAAAACTGAACTGACTCATTAGTACGTGTAGTTTGTACATTTAAATCAGTAAGTCTCTCGAAGCAATGTACCTGTAGCATGCTATCCCTGTAATACATCTATGGGCCAAATTTAGGATGAATCTCATTGCAGATTTGTGTCTCAGAAAAAAGAAGATTTTTTTGAAAATAAATATTGAAATCCGAGGTCAAATTTGAATTCCACTGAGCCTCTTTAACATTAACAGTAAGCTTAGGGGGTCTGTTCTTGTGTATGTGCCTGCTCTCTAGCTACTGCTGCAAGGAAGATGCACCTTCACTTTAAGGCATTTATTCATTCATTTTCAATGTCAATGTATATTAATGTGGCTACATGTGCACATATCTACAGCCAATAATTTTCCGCGATTGCGGAAAACGGACAGAATTTGTGGAATCAACACTTTCAAACGGAAATCACTGCAGGAAACGGAACTTTCAGAATTCCCACTAAGAATGGCTTCTAATGTAAGGAAAATGTTCCGCAAAGAACCATAAATAAATGCCTACTAAACCCTTTTCAAATGCTTGCTTTTAATGAACAAATTATGCTGCAAACATACTAAATTGCACCACTCCACCCCATGATTGGGACGTCCGCGTCGGTACCGATACTTGCAAGCGCTTTGGGGTGCGTGAGCCTTAAGCGTGCAGTGGCAGCCAGCACAGTGCAGTGGCGCAGCATGGTACACACACTCAGGTGCACCATAGATGTACTAGCACTGAAATCAAGGCACAAACAAGTTCCTACTCGCATTGACATATGGGAATTCATTCTGTGAATCCGCACAGACGCCTTGAAACAAGGCTGGTATGGCATGGTGAAATGATGAAACCATGGCAGCAAAACGAAAGACTTATTACATATTTCTTGAATTAAACGAAACTCAGTAAGCTTGGAGTATTATTACTGAATGGGTCCTCAGAAGTGTTCGATGAAGAGCAAAGTTTTCAGTCACAAACATGCATTTTAAGGCTCAGATTTAATGTTAACTTTCTAAAGAATTCGGGATTTGGTGAAACGGAAAATACCCATTTTTGAAAAAGAAAATCATTGGCTCTCACCAATACATGTACATGACTCATCTACATGTACCTCAACAGACTTTTAACATCATGGTGTCGCCTTTTGTTTAAATATTTGCTTTCCTAAGGCAGTGTGATAGGATGCAATCCATCAAGCTCCCAACTAGGAAAGCACATGTGTAAACAAAGCATGACAGCATGTTTCAGGTCTACAGGTCTATATGTATAGATCTATTAAAAATGTATGTGTATGGTTTCATATAAAGTTTCAAATCTATCCTCCCAAGCTTGCTCCCACAAAAAGGTGCACATGTGAACAAAAGAGTAACATTGTCAGTAAAAAGGCATATTATCATAAACAACTGTGTTGACAAATTTGATAATTTCCACAAGGAATGCTTACCATGGAGTGTCCCACAAGGACAACGCTTGTAGGTGTGTTTTTCTTGTGTTTATACAGTGTCAGTATGTATTTGATGCATTCATGGACATATTCTGAGGAAACCAAAAATGAATTATTTACAAGACTGAAACTGTAACTGAAATGACATTCAATACCCCTCCAATTACTTAATTATTCACACAACTTGTCCCTTAATAGTAAGCCCAAATGCGCAATAGGATAAATATGATTATGATATGAAGTCTACTGGTTGGTGATGTTTGTAAACACTGATTCACATCATGCAGAGTGAGCCTCTGACATGACGGCAGCTGTACTTCCTAGATTGCCAAAATGCCAATAATTGCCATTAATTATGGGAATATACACTGGTACTCCAGTCAAGCTTGGAGATTTTGGGGGAGGAACTCACAACTAATTGCAGAAGAATTTATTTCACAGCTGTGCATATATATATATCCTGTCCTTTCTAAGGAACTGGGGACCTTCATTGTACATTCACACAGACTGAAATTTGTATTCTTGTGGAGACAATGCTTCCCATGTTTTGAGTAATTTCCAAATCTATTTCGTGAAATCCTTGTAGAGGCCTACATGTACAGTTGTCTTGTGAAGTCCTTTTCAATCTATTCTCCTGGGTCTCCACAAGGCATTAGATTTCAAATCACAATTACTTATTGGACAGTGTTTCAAAATAGGCATGCTACTGGCTACAAAATGCTGTACCGGCAAATGCAGTACTTTCCAAAGTTTCCATATATGTTTATACGTTTTAGTCATAGCCAATAGATTAAGGAAACATACAAATACTGCCCTCTTAAGTTCATGCACACTGCCATTAAAGCCATAGCATAGTGTAATTTGGCAACCAGAATTAGAGGCTATGCATTTTTATGGTAGCACAACTGTCACAGACAGGTGGTATGCAAGCGTTACCTGTGCATACAATGTTCCATACCTTTTCAACCAATAGAGTGTCATGATCTGCCAAATGTGAGCATGTCTGAAGCTTAAGAATGCCTATGTGAGTGCAATACCACTGCAGTTATGGCGTCTTCTTGGATTAGTCCATACTAACCTGTTTGTTTCTGAAGAGCACCCCCATAAATTCCTGTCAACTCCTCTTTGAAATTAATGGTGAAATAGTTGAAGTGGAAGCTATAAGCCTCAGCTTTCCTTAATGCTACAGATCCTAAAGAACGTACTGTTGTGATAAAGAGAGAAGCATTAACATACATATACATGTGCAAGTACATAACTAGTACAACTAGAGCAAAATTGGTCTCTCGTTGTAAAAAAAATAGGATAAATGTGAGTGACTCAATCTATAAAATAATATGGCCAAACTTTTGACTATTTTGTTTCAGTTTGCAGTGAAAATAGCCAGTCAAACTTTTTGTTTTGCTGTATTACTTATTTTTAAATCCCAGGGGTAAACAATGTTGACAGTTCCTCTTAATTGCCACAGTGCAAGATTGTGACTCAAAAGTGGCTCTGATAACTTATTACTCATTTTCAAAAGCAGGTCAAATATTTTTTTCAATGATGATAAACTGGAGCAAGTGCTGAGACAGAGTAACTTTTGAAAGTGGCATTCAGGCATTCACCCTGAAAATGAGCTCAAAGGTACTAAGTACATGTAGCTACACTATGGGATGTATTTCATTCATGCAAGCCTACATGTAGATATTTGTAAGCATGCATGTAGGAAACTGTCGACCTCATTTCCCTCTCCCTGAAGTTAAGTATTGCATGGAGTCTCCAGGATGCTGTGATAAAATTTGACCATTATCTGTGTTATCAATTTTCTTTCATACTGTGACAGATCCACTACTACATGTACTTTTCCAGATTTTGTTTAATATTTTGTAGCCTTGGGTAATGTTAGATGTGTGTACGCTTTGAGTTGAAGTTTAACCGAAGCATTTTTATCTGAGCTCCTGGCATCTTTTTGTTTTTCAAGTAGGATTTGCCAACTAAAAGGAAAATCAGCATTTGCTTTATACATGTACACTTACATGTCTACCGGTGAATTATTACCTTGTTTGAAACTACCAGCATTTCCGGGAATGAAAAGTACTGGTATACCATTCAGCTTTAGATTTCTGCCAAGATATACACAAGAACACACAACAGAATGAAAATAATAAAATCCTCTAATATAATGGTCCATAAATCTACATGCACTTCAAACTACATGGAAATGTATATTTCAGGGTACAGTTGTCTACTCAACCAATACTGTATCCTCTCACCAGTACATTTAGTACAACTGGCATCAACAAAAAGATATCTTTGTACAAATGATTTAGAAACTGTTACATTACTAGGGATAGTATCATAGTGAGTCAAATTTTATTCACAAGAAATGTGATTTAGATGCTGAAACCATGATTACATGTACGAACATGTACCAGTATTTGACGCATGAACACTGAAGTACATGTAGCTATTGAATGCTACAGTCAGCAAGACTCAAATTAGCAACACATAATATTAAAATACAAGAAAAGAAGTATATGTAAAGTTTCAATAGTGTGATTCGTCAGATAATTCTCCAAGAACTTCAACCCTTCTTGCCTAATCTCTATTTACCTGGAGCGCTTCAGGTAATCACCTTCCCCATAGAGAGACAAGGAATACTGAGGAAACCGTTGTTGAATTGCATCATCCAATTTAGCATCCTATAGAAAAATCAAACAACATTGAAATATGAGACCAAAATGATCAATCACTTTTGTTCTTCACCTTACAACCACTACAAAAACTGTTCACATCTTAGCACACAATTCTGTCAAAAAACCTCATATCCTTTTCCAGCTAATACTGACTACTGAGCTTCAAATTTCATGGCATTTTGTGACCAATAAAATGACAGTTACTCGTTAGTTTTACGTGTTGAACCCTGGGTATTGCTACTGATACAAGGTTTTCGCAAATGTTTCTGTCTTTACACTTGGGACTTTTCATGAAGTTGAGGGCAGACAGATACAATTATGTGAATGTATCGATGGGTATAGAGGAACCCTCAAAGAAACTGAACTGTTAAATTAATAATTTTAGTTTCAATTCTGCCATCTGTTTCAGAAACTTTAAGTGCATTTTGACATTAGAAAGCATGACATTAATTAATAATCCTTCAAAATCTTCATGGTGGTTTTGGAGGACTTAAGTGGATTGAAGCTGATGAATGGCAAGTTGCAGATTCCTGCCTCCATGAACATACATATGTACATTACAGGTGAAATCCTCCATACTGATCCAGGATACCATTTGCACTGCCTCAACTTAATAACAAGACATTCCAGAGGATATTGAAGCATGGAGGCACTGATTCAAGAAAACATCTGAGGATTTACATTTACATGGTCTGAGGATGGTGCCTACCAAAAGGCCTCCAGGGGGGTTATTCCATACATAGGACATGTACATGTAGAATTGGTTTCACATGTAATACAAACACCATCCCATTTTCATAAATTTACAGGTACATGTGGGTAAAAATGTAGACCACCAATTTCCTGTCTATAAAAATTGAACTGGCATAAAACACAGGCTTAAGATGGGGAATTTAATCATTTGTGAAGTCTGGGAGGTACATGTCCATGCATTAATTTTTTTTTAAAAATGCAGCAGATGCACTGTACATGTATATGCGACACTTACATTTAGGGTTGATAATCAGGTTTTCTGAAACACAAGGATTTCAAATTAAATCTTACAAAATCTAGCTAAGAATAGTATGTCCATGTATAGTGCTGTCTATTTCTAGTAGGGGCCTATTTGGTTGGGGGAAGGGGCTGCTGCCAAAAAATATCTTAATACTTGCAAGTCACAAAATTGACAAAAATGGTTTAATCAAACATGTACATGTACCTGATGCAGGTAAAATGAACTTCAACCTTTGGCTTTGACCGTGGGATCAAAAAGTCATGAATAAAAATAAAGCAACCGAGTAAACTACCTGTACTTTGTACACGCACATTTTTTAATCTTTATTTATTCTTATCATGACTGAAGTTAAATTTTTATCAAATGATTTGAAAATACTGGCCTTTATATCAAACTTGTAAAGTAACTCCAAGTCCAATATTTCCAAACAAAAGCACAGTGCAATGGACTTTGAGCAACAGCACGATGGACTAATTTTGCAGATCCCATAATCACTGCCCATGCAACATGTACATTGTAAGTCATCTGATCCAAAACTGTCACATACTGTACATGTAGAGGTACATGTACATGTATGTAATTGCTACCTCCCCCTCCCCATGCTGTGCAACCTTCCATATGCAGAATGTCTGTGACCGAGTGTCAATCATATCAGAGCAAAATTATTCTTCTTTCTCAACATCTAATATTTTTACACGGACTCAGTTTAAAGGGAACTAATCTTGCTGTTACGCAGGACAAAAAAAGACACGTGCAGATCATGCTGCTGCAGAGTTTTGCTTTTCACAATAGCATGAGAAACTGTTCCAAGCATTTATGAGCTGTCCAAAAAAAAGGAAGTTGAAGATTATTAGAACATGCGATACACAGAAGACTGGACGACTCTACTATCACTAGACCATGTCCAAATGATAAAAAGGCAGTAAAAGTTTGTTTTGCAAAGTGCCTGTACCGTAACTATATGTATACATATGTACATGTACGTCAGTAGTCTGAGTAAAGCCTGGTTTCCATACATCAGTATCTTATTAGGATGTGTATGTCCAAATAGTCAAATTTATGCAAATTAGTATAAAAAAAAACAAAAGCGAAGCCTATTTGGTACTTTTACAAAAAGGTGGGGCCTCATATCCACGTATGCAAATGAGGTGGTAGTGGTTTCTGTACAGTGTAAAAGCATTGCATTGCCAGCAATGCATAGTTCTGACAGTGTCGGACATACAGGGTGTCAGATGTACACATCTGATTCCACAATTTGTGAGTATTTGAAAAAATGATTGGGGAAGTTAAGGGGATGTCTAGAAAGAAGGAACTCATTGTGCTTTGTATTGTAAATTTGGCAGTCTTTTGCTAAAGGGTGCACTGAGGGGATAAAAAAACTATGTCATTTTGGTGTCGGACGTACATACATGTAAGAAAAGTAAGTGTTATAAAATAAGACATTACACAGAATTTCAAAAGGAAACTGAAAATTCATTTCTGTCATTGTTTACTTATTGGGGCACTCTTCAAACTGTGCCAAAACTGGAACAAAAAAATTGTTATCAGGCAAAAAAACAGAAAATATTTCAGAGGGGAAATATTTTCCCCAATTTCTTGGTACTTAAAACCAATTTTTCAGTATCTTATAAAAGCCAAATTCTTGAATGTCGTAAGAAATGAAGTATGTTTCATGAAAGTATACACCATAAGCTTAAGAAAGATATATAATTTGTCACATTTGGACCAGTTTGAAATTTTGGCCTAGAGGTTGATGTTTCCGTGGAACTGCCCTGCTATTAAAGATTCATACGATAAATACTTTCTCATTGAGTGTTCAAACTTTCACTCCCAAAGAAGACAACTTACATGTACATATAAGGAAGTACTTAACACATCTGACTCTGAAATGTCCATAACAATTGTTAGTGGAAAAATCTAACATTCAAATGACACTGAATTAAATGTACATGTACATAAAAGCCTGTAAAATCAAATGTAAGCTTTCTTTCTCCCATGAAATTTTTCTATTCCAGCTGACCAAGTCACCTCTGAGAAAGGTGTTGCAAACAAGTATGCACTGTGCTTGAGACACGTCCAAGTTCTGCGTCTGTGACCGTTTGGTCCACACTGTGTCACCTTCATCACCCAAGGGTATGCGAGCCTGCAAACAAAATGGCAGGGCCTGGGTCCTTAAACTGCTCAGGAGACAGCTTGGCCCTAGAGGGATTCCTTCTGTGACATTGTGTGGCTGGAAAGTTACTGGCATGGTAACTGCTCAATTGTCCATTTGATTTTCTGAGCTATTTTTCACAGCTGTAGCACACAGGGCACATAGTCTGCCATAAGTGCCAACCTACCTACACCAACAACAATAATGAGTCCAGCACACTCTCCTGAGGACAGCCAGAGCATCCTGGCCGAAACATCAAGTTAATACTCACCGATTCTTTTCAGAACCACACCTCTTTTGAAGAAAACAGATTCCATGATGTACCCACAAACCTACAGCTCATGTAACTTCCACCTTAAAAAGCTTCAAATCTTACCAATCAGACTCAACTACAGGTGGCATAATTACCATTAGCCTTTTAGAAGCATGGCGGGCACAATAGGAGGGCGCTATATGAAGTGGGTAAAATCTTTTGTGTATGTTACAAATTTACCCACTTCAAATAGCGTCCTCCTATTGAGTCCGCCATGCTTCTAAAAGGCTAATAGGGACCTGCACGACCAATGACATGGTGAGTATCCAGGAACTTCAATACACTATTGAATAGCGCAAAGGGTAAATTTGCTCTGTAGTGACATCACGCCAACCGCAAGAATATCGTCACAAACATTAGGCCTGTCATGCCCGATGGGATCTTGAACGCAGCACAAAGTTATTGTACTCCATCCTTACCACCAGAACTGTGGGGTTCAATGTCCACCACTTGGAAGCGTGAAAATAAGCGTTAGTTCTATAAACTACATGTATTTCAATCGAAATAATATGCATCAAATGCATCAATCTCACATCCCAACTCAAAACCAGAAAAAGGGTTGCTTTACACTTTAGCGACCCGTTGCCTCCACTTCAACCAGGGTAAAGGCAGATTTCCAAAATGGCTTTGACAAATTTAGCCCCACTAGTGTGGCACGGACTCTCACTCCCGATCTATCCTTATCCACACATCTGTATACACAATTTTGTGTCGGCGTATTGAACATTTCGGCGTACCCACTTATCATCGTGGGCGCAACTTCTTTTGTACAAAAACATGATTCTTTACCTTTCCGCTTTCTAAAAACCATTTATTGAATGATTTCACTCATGTTATTTGGGTATTTTCCAGTCTTTTTGCCTTTTTCCATTCAATCTCACTCTCACAGTCGCCATCTTTAAAATAAGGTCGTTGAGTATTACGTCACTTGACCCCTCGTCGTCTCAGCGGCTGTTCCATGTCAAGACATGTAATAAATGGACTGAGCGATAAGATACTACATGAACCAATGGACTCTTCCAAAACTTTGGCAGCAGTTTAGATGTCTTGACATGGAACAGCCGTTGAGACGATGAGGGGTCAAGTGATGTAATGCTAAACGACCTTAATTTAAAGATGGCGACTGAGAGAGCGAGCCCGTTACATTGAATGAATTAAGGCAAAAAGACTGGAAAATACCTGAATAACGTGAGTGAAATCATTCAATAAATGGTTTTTAGAAAGCGGAAAGGTAAAGAAGCATGTTTGTGTGCAAAAGAAATTGCGCCCACGATGATAAGTGGGTGCGCTGGAATGTTCAATACGCTGACACGAAATTGCGTATACGGATGTGTGGCTGAGGATGGATCGGAAGTGAGAGTCCGTGCCACACTAGTGGGGCTATGACAAACTTAACTTGTCTTGTCAGTGAAGTATCTTCGCTTGCAAACCTGAGTCATGAGACTAGAGTGGGAAAATGAATGCATCACCCCACACCTTTTTCACATCAAAATACAATACTCAAACACCATGCCCTGCCTGGAGATTACATTGAATCGGTCATGCTATTTAGCGTCAACAAGCCTCAACACATACAACTAGCGTCAACAAAGCATCAACAACTCGAAAGTACCCTCTAAAGATTTAAAAGTGGTTTCATCATAATTTAGAGACTCTCAGACCTGCAACTGTGTAAGAGAAACATCAAATTCGCTTCCAGATTCATGCAGAAAAAAGAAACTTTTTTCGCGATGTATGGAGGCCGCCATCTTTCTTTACTCTACCGTCCATGCGAAAACAAGATGGCGGCCGGTCGGGCTGCACAAGTAGGCATGAATTTGTCGCTCAAATTTCCACATTCAAATATCATTTTCGATAACATGACACAGTGAAAATGATATGTAGGAGCCTTACTAATATTGTAGGACCTAGTATAAAATATTTGCATAAAAATGCTTGAATATTTTGCTGGCGCTTTGTTGACACTTGTTGACACTTGTCATGCTTATTGACACTAAATAGCATGACCCCATTGAAACTGATGTCATTGTTCTCCTCAATCAACCTAGGGCAGGGTGGTTTTTGTGGTCAAACATGCCCTAAACTAAGGCTAAACCTTAGTTCGCGCAGTTTTTTTTTTGTTTTGTTGTTTTTTTTGTCCCTTTATCTTGCACTCCATTGCTTCTAGTCTTAGAGGTGTGCATCCTGAATGTCAAACAGTTACTTATTCAACATTGAATGCTGAATGTAAACTTCACACCGGTAACATAACCAAGTAGGCCTAGCACCTACTCAAACATCTCAAAGGCTAGCACCTAACGTTTAATCATCATGCTGCAGCAAATCAAAACCCTAGCCTGATCAACTTACGATGTACGACGGCCACTGAAACATGTACGTCATTGTACACCCATTCTCCTCGAAGTTACGAAAAACGTCGTAGAACCCTAGCCCTAAAAGAGCAAGAAAAATGGAGCAAATGATCTTATTTTGCGCTGCCATAATACTCCCATTCACTTGCTACCCAGGCGCGCATGCAGAAGAAGCACAGGCCGGCCTGAATTTACCGGCCTTATATAGTCAGTCACGAAATTTGGTATCTTGCGAGCCAAGCTTACTATTATTTGTTTGTAGCGTGAAAAAGGCAGGATTTCAGACGCACACACCGGCTTTCCATAATTAGTCAGTTTCCCCGTTATTTACACTAGCGAAAATGGCTCAGAACGTCAGGGATCTGTTCTTCATTCAGTAACGTTCCGCCCACTGATCTCTACTCGACAGTATAGTAGAGATCAGTAGTTCCGCCCCTCATAATTATTATAGACGTAACACTAGCGGGATGCCGCACGCGCAATCGGCTGAGGGCACGGTTGACCTGAGACGTTTATGTCATGTGGCAACAAAGTAAATGGAAGTAACAAGTAATTTTTTTTCCAATTACACCACAGTCTCAGGATTTGGGCAATTTTCAGACTGATGATACTGAAATAAAGAGCCCAATTTTGTGCGGAGAGTGAAGTGTAAAAAGAGCCTTTGACATGCGTGACCGTCCCAACTCATGCCTGAGGAATAGTCCATCTACTTGAGTTTGATGGGAGTAAAGTCTGCTGGGTTGGCCGTTCTACTCAGCGTTTTTAGGATAGGAACGATGTATAGAGCCTTAAAGTTGACCCCTGATGGCGCACTTCCGGAACCCTTGGATAAGAAAAATAACGTGCAAAGAGTTTAGAATTAGTAAGATTTTTTCGTTCAGTTTCTTCTTAAAAATCCAACTTGAAAAAAGGGCTTTGAAAAATATTTGCTAGTCTATAAATTTATAGAAACTGAAAAATTACCTAACCTAAAAGAGATATATCCTGCCAAAAATTGACCCATCACTTCCGAAAATCTAAAATACATGAAAAGCAGTGCAATGTTGATGAATGTTTACAGTTTGAAATTTTATGGTAACCTGTGGGTAATATTAATAATTATAACATTTATAAAGCGCAAATTTCATATAGATATGTTCAAACGCGCTGTACAGTGAAGACATTAAGTGTGGAACAATGAAACATGGTTGAGCCGATGGCATACAAAGGGCGCCAAACGACCCACATTCACCAACATCACAGAGGACACAATAAGAAGCAGTTACAGTTTTAGAGGTGGGAGGAAAACCCCAGAGGAATAATCTGGGTAAAACGCACGGAGTCACGTAGGGACTGAAAACCCATCCACTTATGGAGCGGGCCGGGAATCGAACCCGGGACCACAGAGGTGGAAGGCGAGGAAAGGACTACCTTGCCAACCCGACTCCCCAATTTGGGTAAAAAAACAAAATAAAAACAGACCAAAATACTTTACACAATTTGATTATTTCTAAGCATATATAAAGCAGTATTCTACTTTTATGAAAGATTTCAATATTTTATTTAATCTTTGCTGACAATTGCACGATGTCAACTCAACGGAATCTGGAACCCATCGACTGCAGGTAGGTAAATCTTTGCAAGTTTGTACAATCTCGATTTTAAGAAAGCACGGCGAGTGAAAAACAAACGTGCATGAACAAGGAGACCCGGGGACGAGTCGCCGAACGGGAAAGGCCGTTAATAAAATTCGTTTTTACCCATCTCTAGGTGACTTAATTTTCCAAAACATTACTTGAGGAAGACAAAAGTGAAATTTTCAAGATGTATTTTTGCGTCGGGGAGATGTTAATTATATATAACGGGTTTGCCCTTACCCAACGTATATTAATAAGCACCGTATGCTCAGTGCTTGTCCGAGAGCTTGCAAAAAAAATCACAAACTTACTCGGGTGGGACTCGAAACCACGGACTCCTGCTTACTAGTGCAGATGTCTTAACCACTCGACCACCGAGCTTGCCGACGTCGGCTGGCCGGTCTGATTCAAATGAAGCAGATGTCTTGGCGTAGTGGCGTATTTGATACCATGGAGGTTGTGTGCAAATGTGTCTCCTATTCAGGAAAGTAAAGCTACCTATAGGCGTTTCTTTATTAATCCTGTTTATTGCTTCCAGGGAATAACATTCTTATTGCTTTTCAATCTCATCATTTCTACTAATGACGGTACTTAAATGGGGCTTAATACATTAGGCCTAATCAAAATCAGGTTTACCTCACGCAAGAAATTATTAGATAAATACTCAAGAAATTAAGCCCCATTTAGAAACTGTATCATTTTAGCACAACGTGAGGGGAGAATTTGAGTAGAAATTGGCAACGAACACCAGAAACCGTAGTTTCCGACTCGTTGATAAGTGATCGTGTACTTTTACCTGTATTATATAATTTAACGTTCATCGTCGGGGGTGTAATTATATTCATTAGTCTTTAGTTCCCAGCCCATTTCATATAGATGTATTTCATTCCCAATAAGAAAGAAGAAAATATTGTAAGGACAGAAACCAATGCACGGTACTGCAGCGGGTTGCGCTTCGCCACGGCGAAAGGGTTTCGTAAAAATAATCACGTACTTGAGGACCGTTCGTTCTTTTAACTGAAGTGGGTTTATGCAGGTATTGTTTATAACAAATACCGAATATTGTGAGTGCAGTGGTAAGAACATTTTCATGAGGTGAGAAATTAAATGTTCCATTCCGCTACGAATGAGCTACACTCAGTATTTGTGTACTAATAATTGCTCAAATAAATAAAAGGTTCCAATTTGACGAATATATGTTGCAAACTGCAAGTTATATTGACAAGAAAAAACCTTGTATGACGGGAGGGGGGCTAAATTTGGGGATTCTGAAGCACTTTGGGAATGGAAATTAATAGTAATTAAGAAATAAAAGCAAACAAAACACACCTCCTTCATCTCATATTTCGAAAACAAATTTTAAAAATGCATAGACCCCGTTGTCCCTTAATTCGCTATATCCTGTACCTAGTTGTTGTCGAAAGGTACCGATTCGACGGCAACCTAATCAGGTCATAAATTCATTTTTTTAAAAACAATATTACAGCTCTCTGCATTAACAATACAGACTTGGCGTCGTTACAATAACCCCGATAGCGTGCTTGTCCAAAAGGCCTCCGTTAGGCTCCATTCCCACCGCTATCTAGTAGGGCGTCGACTATCCGCTTCTCGCACGCTGCCACCGCTGGCGCCAGAGCCTCGATCTGGCAGCTTTGTACAATAAATATAGCCGGTTCAGTGATTCCCTTGTATGTTACGTATGTAATTTTGCGCCTGATGCGTTAGTTCTTATACCTTGCAATTGGACAAAACGATTCTGAAGCGATTTTACATGCTGTCAGTTCAAGGCCCTACGCATGCCTATGGTTGCACTACACCAAATACGCGCCCATAGAAAGCAGTTCAAAATCAGACCGAAATAGCGCCTCCTGTTGACTCTCGGAAAGAGGTTGGTCTCCCTTTTTATTGAAAATTCAAGATTGTGGCCAGAAGATCACTTTTCATTTCAATTCTAAGGGGGTTAGCCACGAATTTTTTTATTTACCTTTCCCCGAAGATACCCCCAAAATAGTAATAAAACTATACGCTCAGCATCCAGGATTTTCCTAAAGGGGTGGAGGGGGGTGAACTAAAATAGCAATGGTGTAATGTACGAGTAGTGCACGAAGCACTTACGGCGTGGGGTCCGGGGCCCGCATAAGAGATTCAAAGATTGGGTGGATTCTAGGTGCTCTGGGGTGCAATTTCAGGCAGCATGGCCCCTCCTTCTTCTTCTCCCTTCTTTTTTCTTCTTTTTAAATATTATTTATTTGTTTATTCATTTATTTGGTAAAAAAGGGTAGCTTGCGCCCCACACACCCACCCTGGATCTGCCCCAGCTTGCACAGAAATTGGTAAACTTACAAAAAAGGTAAGTTTTCATCATAACGAAAGTTTGTGAAAGTTATGTTATTATATTATCGAAATGCCTGTCATGAGACGACAAATACGGCAACAACAAACAAAATGGAGGCTATGCGAGTAAATCCACATTCCTATTAGTAATTTATTGCATAATCGAAGAGATTCGTTAACTTGAGAGTAATTAATCGATCTAAATTATATCATTAACTTTAAAACCCTGCTGACATCAGACAATGGAAATTTCTTCTGGATCACTGAACATCAAGTACATCTCCACAACAATATTGATCCAGCAATGTTCGATGATAGACCACAGTCAACCACAGTTCAACTTTAGTCTAAAAGAACGCACACTATAGTCGACTGCGGTTGGACTGCACAGGTAGATGACCATTTGCGACCAGCTTACAAAGGTTGGTCATGGTCATTGGTTGCCGTAGCCCGTTTAAAAGCACAGTGTTGAGAGAGCCAGTTATACGAAAAAGTGGTGGAAAAACAGGAAACGTGTGCATGTCACTAGTAAACAACCATTTTCACTTTCATTTTGGTTATTTTGCCTTCCTACAGCCACTTCTTTCTCCCATCAGATATAGGACCCTACTGATTTAACAACGGTTGACTCGTGTCGTTTGTACTTTAACTTCACTGCATAAAACGCTAAGTGCGTCACGAACCAACCATCCTTGATCGAACTTGCCCCATCCGGTTCGTAAGTGTGACGTCACTTCAGTTTAAACCACGCCAACCGCACATGCACTGCACGTATTGATCGCCATTTACATGAAACCATGGAACCAGAAGTTAACGCGCAACTTCAGCGATTGTCCAATGGAAGCCTGCAAATCGGGGCGCGTCCGCCTTTGTGAGGAAGTCACTTACGAACCGGATAGTGACGAAATTTGCAATGTTTCTTATCTGCGTAAATAATGTGCCTTGGCTGTGTTCAAACATACTGGCTACTGTTAATACTTGCAGACTCGGAAGCCAATGACTTACATACGGCTGTACTGTGTGCGCTACTGCCAAATGTTTTGGACACAAGGGTGTTGTTAGGGGAGGGGGGAAGTTGAAGCCCATACTTGTTGTTTGAAAAGATTGGCGAGAAAAAGGCTGCTCGCTGACTTATTGCCCCTATATTTACATGTTCACAACAATAAATTGCCAAAGAATGGAAATTTACGACAGAAAAGCATTGCAAATTCCAGCTTCTGTGCATAAATCTGCAACATCGAGGTTCATTGACTGGGGTGACCGTTTTGCTCATGTATATGCATATTAAATAACCCCCAAAACCATATGGGCTCCAAAATACAGATTCTTTTTAAAACAAAAACTGAAACTTTGATTAATGAAAATATTAGGGTAAAATTCTAAGGGTTGTAATGAAACCAATGTATTCCATGGTCCCTTTAACGACTGACTTCTGCTAGAACTTCAATCGATTTCAGCCCGGCTTGAGCATTACAGGACTGGAATGCAATGAGACAATTACATGAACTTCTATGTCTTGTTTAACTTAAAGGTAAGTTTAGACAGTTGCTTATTTGTTCATAATTTTAAATTTCATCTCGGAAATTCTCAAGGATTCATAGTTTCCTTTCCAAGTGTACCAGGCTATCCCCTGGTACGGTTCTCCAAAATATCGACCATTCAGGTTAGACTGATAACAACCTGCATACCACCAGGCACCGCCAAACTGTATGGCACAGCTTTTTATCCAATCATCGTTGTCTACATCATAGGTAGAGAAGCGCTTGTCGACGTGTTTAGACAAAGAGTCACCTGGACACATGAATAAACCATCAGATAATTGCTTAACGGTATTCGTGGATATCCTTAGGTCTGCTGATCCCAAGAATACTTCTTTCACCAACCAGAAACATAATTACAAATGGCTCAAAGCGCTAATCACTGACTTTCTTGGACACACAAGTATTATTTTCATCCTTGCCAGAACTTTCAGACGTACATCCATTAGAATGGAGATCAAACCTTTTTAAGAGGACAGGCAACAGTCATTCACAGCGCCCCCAGGGATTCCCCGTCACGAGTTCACTCTGTCTCTGAATGTACCATTGATGAAGTAACCAACACGTCGTTATTTCCTCCTTACCTGCTGTTCCCCAGTAGCCAGAAACGCTCAACCGATAGTAGTCAGACAGATCAGCAATCCTGAAGTTGGGGTACATAGCGTACGCGGAGTTGTTCTGGAAGTCTGTCAGATCAATTCGTAGAATGTAGTCATCTTGAGAGGTTAGTCGATATAGATTATCATTGCCCAGCCAGAACTCACCGTCTACATCACCGAAGCCTTGGCGATAACTATCAAAATCACGGTAGAAGTCTACTGAGCCGTCTTTACGACGCTGAAACACCTTGAGATATTTAAATGAAGAAACAATAAAGCTCAGTAAAAATCAAAGAATTTTTTTGAATGAAAAGAGAATATTATAGTCGGGCCGCTTAATTCAAACCGCCGTCATATTTTTAAACAGAAAAGCTTCCTGTCAGGAATTTGGTATTCCTCAACTTGGATATGAATACTAAAACCTACTGATGCCAGTGTCAAGAAAAGCATGAATGATAAAATAGTATAATCATTGCACCACCAAAGCGTTGTTGAACACTCTGATAACGGGCTTGTAAAGAAATTTTAACTTGAAGCATTAACAATGAAACGAAAGATACTGTTTTCGAAAAGTTTGATCTTCATCATAGGGTTTTTGAATGAAATAAACAGTGCTTTTTAAGGAGATGCTAAACTCAGTCTTTCTTTTCCTTGATGATTACCGTCCAACCGCCACCATCGGTGGCCATGTCACAGTACACTTGAATGGCTGCTCCACCATCTCGCGGCTGCACTGTGTACACACCACTATTTGCCTTGTCCTTAGTTAAGGCTGCCGAACAATCCTTAGGGAGGATACCTGTGGCAAACGATCAGACAAACTTGATGTTTTTCACTTAGAATCATTTTTAAAAAAACAGGGAAATTGCAAGTTGTTTGTCTGCATGGAATTGGGCATGAGTGAATTGGTGAATTCCTGGACCATGGACACCCCAACTCCAGACTGTTCTGCTTTTGATCATAAGGAAATCCGCAGGTAAATTGAGTACTTCATAGTGTTTGGAAGGACCATTTCAGCTCACGCTTCGCTAGCTAGGTCGGCTATACTTTTATAGGAATTTCTTCTTTTCTTGTAACACGTTTCAAACTGCTCTCAAGAAACAAAAGTTGAAAAGCAGTGTTCAGAGATTTTGTTTTGCTAATTTTAATTTTTAAACGTCTTTTTCAATTGGCTGAGGGTTTCCCACAACTGTGAAAAGTGGTTATACCGAGAAGCAAAAGGCTCACTGGTCAATAACGTTACATTTCGGAAGTTTGGGTGAGATGACAATTTCTGGGTCGTTACCAGTCAGAGTTATTATGGCGGCTTCAGCAGGAAACACGTCGCCGGTCAACCCTTGAATTGTCACTTTAGATGTATACTTGGCTTCTTGTTTTCTTTGTCAACAACCTTTAGCGGATTGACGAGACTGGGCCTTGGCCCCATTAATTTTCTCAACCGTAATAAAAGAAGGGTGATTTTAGGGGGCTGTTTCACCCCCTTCCCTTAAAAAGGCCAGGATAAACTAACACTTGAGAAACGAAACCTTCAAGTTGTTGCCATTACCCCCCAAAAAAATGGTTCTGGGTCTGCCTTTGTTAACACCGGAAATTAGCTGTTGATGCCTGAGAACGACAAGGACCAAAAAACTGTATGTTTCTCTGTATACAGCTCCTAACTGTTCAATGGAGGACCGATGTTTATCGGGGTAGGGGGTACTACCCCCCCCGCTATGGCACACACTTTCTGACTGGAGGTTGAGATTAGCTATGTATCATCCTCCAGACTTTTAGAACAATAAAGAAGAAAAATAAAGACTAGAGTCAATACAGATATGTAAATTTCACATGAAATTGGAAATGCCAAAAAGTGTTCTAATTAAAAGTCCAAAATCAAAAGAATGATATTTTATTATTACATGAATAACTTGTAGTACGCGGCGCCCACTTGAGTGTGTAAGAAACGTCAAGCTCAGGCCCACCCTGCTCAAACTGACAGCATCAGATTTTTGCAAATTAGATTTTTTTTATCACCAAACTCCTCACTTCCATAAAGGAATATACGCCCTTGCGACGGAAAGTGCATTGCATCTTCAGGGCAAAATTTGTAGTGACTCAAGAAAACCCTACGTCTTCAAGGAAAAATCGCTGACGTATTGTTGAATATGTACGTGAGATCAGAGGCGGGGCTGTGCTAATCATAAAAGGATAATAACTAACCCATGCATAACTAATCAGGGGGTTGCTACAAAGACTGGCATTGTGTTTACCCAACATGCAGCGCATGTTTTACATATTTCAAAAGACATAAAGGATTCAGCTGTGATAGCGTGCGATTTGCCAGTAATTTGACCTTTGACCTGCATTAATATAGACCAATCTCTTCATTGAAATTGTTTGCCCCTCTTAAGACCTCAACTAAACAAATAAAAAAAAATAAAAAACTTCATTTATTACAATATCTCAACTATACAGTTTCCGGTTAAGTGAAAACATATGTCGTAAAATACTTTTCTCAGAGCCTGCAGGAAACCTTAATGAAAATTTAAGACATTCGTTAAGGAGGAATAAAGATAAGATGATTGTAAACTTTAACCCATATTGTTATAAACCATGATATTCTTACCATGGTACAAAGCCCTACCCTTTAGCAAACAGTTTATTCCTCCATCCCATAATGATGCATGCAAAAAGTTTCCCTCAGAACAATATATTTTTTAAAGACAGTGAAAAAAATGCACTTTACCTTGTCTATTTTTGATGCTTGCGACGATGTCCTCGAAGGCCGAGTGTAGTTGAAAAACCTGCCTCATGAAATCTTCCTCATCCCGCTTGTATTCCTCTGTCAATCTTTCCAACTCTCCAACCCTCCATCTGATGAAACCTTCTACCTCAGAACGATTACATGAGGCAGACACCGGTTTTTCAAACTCTTTGACGTTGACTTCTGGCTCATATACGATGGGTTCTCGAAGCGTCTTCCCACCCAGTTTATGATCGGTTGAAAAATGCTGTATCGATAGATCGTTCTCAAGTAAAGGATTTCTCTCACAACCAGTAGCGTCATGGCAAAAGATCCCAGCCTCAGCTCTCGGGTTGGTTCCCGCAACAATCACAGTTACAAACAGAACGAGCCTATATATTGACGATTCCATTTCTCCAGACTGCTTTAGTCCCTCACTAAGCAAGGTCTTGTGCGTTACACTGTGTCTGCCAGTCCAACTCGAGAATAAATCCAACTAACAGTCATCTTTCTACACGATACTTTGGTCTTAAATAATTATACACTTTCACTTCTCACCGACTAACATTTCACGATAAAATCAGATATGCAAAGTTTTCCCAGGGTCTGTTGTCGAGTAACCAGACGACTGAGGTATTTCCTATGTTAATATTCGTTTGGAATGGCTCACGGGGTTGTGGCTGTACTTTAACCTGGTTGTTGTGACTGGTGTGTCTCTGCTTTAATGGACTCACGTACAGGAGTTGTTCCTTAGGAAACAACACATTTTCTCCTTATTTTATTTTGTAACTATAAACCCATATTTTGTCCCTTAGTGGTGTTTTTGCCACAAAGGCATCTCCATGAATGATTTCTATATAACTATATTTTACTATGTTTTCAAGAATATGCATTTTTGTATCAGTTCTAATATAAACCTTTGGCGAATTGAATTTGAATAAAATCTGGTACAAGTACATTGAGTTCTTTAAATTCACGAGAACATAACAATTTGAAGTCTCCATACTAAAGACATTGTTGCTTTTCC